GATCGAACTTGGGTCCTTGCGCTTGCACAGCAGGCGACGAAACCACTGAGCTAAATCCCCGGCCCGATGCTTCTTTCTTTGTAGGGCTTTATAGCATTGGCTACTAAGAGGATCAAATTGCAAAATTATCAGGGCATTTTGTGTCTCTTTGTGATTTCCAAAAGTCACATATTTGTCTGGTGTGCTTTTTCTTCATCTAGAATAAATGCTTTTTTATACTTTTGTTTAGCATTTTCCAGGCACCACAATCATTAGAGGAATTGACATCCTGGACTAATATTTCTTGGGAGCCTGAGGGTACCCCCTGTTGTCCTCAGCTCCATCCACTGAGCTCTGTGCAGCAGGGGCCTTGTCCCCTCTGTGATTTAGGAACAGCTGTGGTCCTTGTAAAGTGAAAACCAAATGTCCTCTGGGGCTCCAGAGCAACCAAATTTATTTTTCCCCTTGTAAATTAAGTAGCTTCTCACAGTTAGTGTCTCTATGATTATGACTCAATAATTAACATGGTATCATCCTTCATAAAATGTATGATTTATTAGGTTGTTTTTACTCAAGAATAATAGAACAGTGTATGTTTGTTTAAATTGCCTTTCGCATTCACTTAATTTCTTCTTTGTTTTGGTCATTTAAATATTTCAGCTGGCTGCTTCTTACTGCATTAATTGAGATATTGTCTAATCAGTTCTTCAGAGGACAGAAATATTTTCTTCTCTTCATGTTTCTAGTTAAAAAATAGTAAGCAAAATTAAAGACCTAGGAACTAGTCTGATATAAAGTGGGCCTTTATAGTCTCTATTGAGACATACTTCTCTTTGCCTCTCATAAATTGAGGTCAGAATTATCATATGTTGTAGCATATCCACATAGTAAAAAATGTACCAGGATACCAAGCCCTTGATATCTTTGAATAATCATAATTTGTACTCTCTTAGATTGGGAAAATTTATTTTCCTAGTATGTAGAAATTTAGCCTGGAGCAACTTAGCATTTAATATGAATGGACCATTGAAGTGATGATGTTTGTCCAAACTAAATGCGAGGCATCTGAGACCATAGGACTGGGCATTAAACCTTGTGGGAACAAATTTTCTCATGAATACTCTTGTGCTTCTACTTTTAATCATTATCAGTAATCACTAGGAGAGAATGAGGAACTATGAGTTTCTTCCTTGGTTTCTGTATTAATATATTTAGCTACATAAAAGCATCTTTTAGAAAGAGATCTACTTTGATGAAATGAAAGGGAGACAAACAAACAATAAAAGGCAATCATAAACTTTTCTTCCAAATGAGTCTAGAAATGTGAGAATGGCCCAAAGAAAGCAATTCTTATCTCCTTAAAAACTTGACTCAAAGCTCCTGTACACAGACCTGAGTGCATCTAGTGGGTTGTCTGTTCAGTACTTGACATCTTTAGGGCACTTTATCTTCTACTGTGCCAGTTTTGCCTTTTTCAAATTAAAGTTTAATTTTAGTTCAGAGTAAAACCTGAATAGCTTGCTGAAATAGCACCCTACCTGCCTTCTCTAATTGGAGGATTTAGAGTCAAATACAAAAGCAGCCTGGGAAAAATTGATTTCCTTGACTAGATGTTTAAACTGGATCCAATGTTGTAGAAATGGATGTCTTACTTATATAGTCTCTCCAGGAGAGACTTCTTCTGTAACTAAAGTGTATTACACAATTTAAGGGGAAGGAAGAGGAAATAGAAGTATTTTATACAGAATCTGTCACCCTGATTGTGATTTTTAATGAGAGTAAGCAACCGTATTAACAGTGTAGTTTTCCCCCCATAAATTTTAAGAATGATAATCCTGTCATATATTAGCATTTGTCTTTTTAGCTACTAGTGTACCTGTATTATAGTAGTTCCACACATAGCGAGATTACTATTTCCTTGGAATTCTACCAAGATATATATGTATACAATACATATCATGTGTGCATATATATTGATTTATGTTAGTTACTAGTTTCTTATGACTGTTTTATCAAATTAATACAAGCTTGATGACTTAAAACAACAAAAGTAGATTTGGGAGGTTGTGACTGGACATCAAAACTGAGATATGGAAGTAAGATGTCTGAAACTGGTCTTACCAGGTTAAAGTCAAGGTGAGGTAGGGCTGTGATCTGGAAGTGTCCAGCTTGTCTGGATTGCCTGCATTACTTGGTACATGGCCTCTTCCTTCAACTAGAAATCCAGCAACAAAGTCAAGTTTTTCTCCCACTTCATCACTGATGCTCATCCTCTTACCTCCGGTGTTCATTTACAAGGACCCTTGTGATTACAGTGGTACCACCTGGACAACTTGGAATAATCTCCCCAGTCTCAAGATCTTCTGTTTAGGAAGCTTAATTCTGTCTTTAACCTAATTCTCTCACCATGTAATGTTATATATTCAAAGCTTATGGGAATTAAGATGTGGACATCTGTAGGGGAATATGATACTTTATTCCACCTACCATTTTGTCAGGCCTACATTTTAGCAGGGTTACTGTGATGCTACCCCTACAGAGTACCAAAAGGGAGTCGACTATATAATCATATTGAAAGCTAATGCAGTAAACCATAAAAAATTAACTGGAGTAATAATAGTAAGGGAAGTGGTGAGATAACAGATTTATTTTCAAGATAATTTGCAAGCTTTTTAGATGTAAGATCTGAGAGAAAGAGAAGAGTCCAGTGAGCTTTAGATTTTGCTTAAACAATTGGGAAAATTAAGCTGCCATTAATTAAGATTGAGAAAAATACTGAAAAAGCAGGGTTAGGGTATCAGTGGTAGTGTTGGCTGGGCTGAGGAAGGGGAGGTTGGGGGAGAGCAAGCACGTAATTTTTGACATAATCTTGAGATGTCTATAAGAAATCCAAGTAGAGGTGTCAGAGAGTTAGATAGATGATTCCGGAATTTAGAAGAATGGTCTTTCCTGGAGATATAAAATTCTTATTCTTCGGCTTGTTGAAGGTAGTTTAAAACACAAGACTAAAGGAGCTCACTTATGGTGAAATAGAGGAGAGAAGAGAGCAGGCTGAATTCTGGAGTTCTCCAACCGTAAGGCTGTGGAGTGGTTGAAAAGAACCCAGCAAAGAAGACAGAGAAGCCAGTGATTAGAATGAAAAGCATATATTCTAGATCTGATTTCTGAAATATTTTCAGAACATCAAAGTATTATTGGATCAGAAGATGAAAGCTGATATATTCTAGTCAGTTGCTTTTGAAAAATTATACTGGCTGGTTGAACTCTTACAATACAGATTTCCTGCTGTAGGAGTCCATTCTGTGTCCCTTATTAGTTCTGTTAGTATTCTCTAACCATGTAACATTTGGTCTAAGAAGTTTAATGAGGCACTATTGAGAAACGTATTAATGTCATCTTTAGAGGGTGATCTAGTTACATAGGATCTGTATTAAATACAGGAATTCAGAATGGAGCAAGAAATTTTGTTGCTTCATTAAGCTGCAGAAATTAGTTTTAGGATTTTTGACAACTTTACATTTTTTAACAACCACAGTGGTGACAAATTGCTTTTCCTTTAAGTATAGGTTTAATTTATAACAATATTCTTTTCTCCAGTCAATTGTATGTTGTTGAATATAGTGAAAACTGGTAAATTGATATAACATTCTAGAAGGTAATTTGGCACATGTACCTAAAAAGCCTTAGATTTTTATATACACATTAACAAAATAATTCTGCTGATGGGAATTTATTACAAGGAAATAGTCTTAGATATGTGCAAAGATTTCTTTATGGAATTATTTATTATGGTGAAAAATTAAAAACAATCTAAATAGTACAGTGTTATAAAAATAGGTTTTGGGATATCTATTCAATGTACAGTCATTAATAATCATTATTATAGAAAATGTCAAGTGAGATAGAAAAAAAGAAAAAGGATACACAATCATATGTGGAACACTATGTGAACACTATATGTGAACAGGTGTATACATAAAAGTTTAATATATTTATAAATGTTAAAGTTTATTCCTAGGTAGTTTTTCCAACATTTTTCACTAAATATTCTTAAATGAACATTATTAAATTTGAAAAAAGAAAAAACAGAAATTTTAAAGAAGATGAAATCACAGATCCTTCAGACATATGTCTGAAGGTTAATTTGCTGCTCAGTCTTTGTTCAGTAATAAAATTATAGAAGGAATTTTAAAATTATTTGGAACCTTAACAACATCACTAAAATAAATGAATAGCTTCCCAAAGAGAGTAAGTAGTTGGAAAGGCAACACTTATTTGGATTTGAAAGTTCTGGAATTCTGGGGAGAGACTTGGGATGTGTTTTAGATGGAGGCATAATTTACATAGTGAAATACATACATTATAAGTATACAAGTTTTAACAAATGTGCATATTTGTTTAACTAATATGCAAATCAAAATATAGTTGGTATGTTGGTATGAAAAAAGATTTCTCTGCAGGCGTTATCATACCTTCAATAATGCAATTTAGAGGGTACTTTCTATTTGTTTGCACTTGGATCATGTGCCTTGATTTCTGTCTCATGGAATATATAGGGCCAAGTGAGAAGCTCCACCATTGGACCTTCAGTGATGGTGTCCAGTTTGGCCTGTTGGTTTTGCAGGGTGTTCAACTTGTGGGAAGCTGAAAATTCCTCCTCTTGCACTTCCCAGGTGCCTGATAGAGATTCTCATCAAGCAGCTCTGTCCTCTAGCAGAGCCAGAGGTTTTGATCCTATGCACTGGACCATCGCTTGTACACCATTCTGAGTGTATATTCTGTTTGCTCTCCATGACGCACACATACTCCCTGCTGTCCTGTAGAATCATGTTACATCTGGCTAGGTGATAAAGTAATACTAAAGCAATTTATTAAAAATCTATTTGAGACCTTCTCAATTTGTTGATGAAACTGTTATTGTAGATTGTTTGCAAGTACAGGGTTCTTGACTTGATTGAAACATAGGCAAATATATGTATGTGGAGATAAATGGTCTCTTGTTTCTTTTTCATTTTTTCCAGGCAAGAAAACTGATCAGTGATTTTGCAATTATTTTGTCCATTCTCATATTTTGTGTAATAGATGCCCTGGTAGGTGTGGACACTCCAAAACTAATTGTGCCTAGCGAGTTCAAGGTAAGTGAATGTTTATCTTTCAATTGTTCCTTGAGCTTTTTGGCCTTCTTTCCTTTCTCCTGTTCTAGTTTATTGTGTCTCTCTCAGTTAGTTTTATACAATTATCCATTTTTCTTTTTATCAAGAGCATTCCCTTATTAGGCTCATAATACATTTAATCTAATTAATTTAGTAAGATTAAGTGCAAAGACTAGGATCAAATGGATGGCTCATATTGATTTTTATTTTAAAATAATACAACATTACAAATTATTCCTTATACTTTTGAATGTTTTTAAATATCACCTTGATCCACATAATTATTCTGGGAAGAATGCAACATAACTAACCTCATTCTTATTTCATAAAATTGAGATTGAAATTCATAAAAATTAAGTAAAATGCCCAAGATTACCAAACTATTGGCATCAAGGATTAAAGTTCCAACCCCAGTCTCTAGACTCTTAATCCATTGTTCTTTACACACAAATAAACTCCCTGTCAGATACATTCACATTCAGTGTAGATTTAACTGTTACAAAGAAGGTATAAAAATTATTTTAAGAATCTATTTTTATATCCAGGTGTAGTGGATAAAATCTACATTTCATTCATTTTGAAATTATCAGTCTTCCATTACAAGTCTTTCATCTATTTTCTCGAACATTTCTTACTCTCTCCATAATCAAGATCATACACATGCTAAGAAATATCAAGCACACTGCAGCTTTAGTATAATAACTACTCAGTGGGGAAGGGATATATATCTCACAGAAAATAATATCTTTGTCATTGTGCTATCACGTATTTATCAGCAAGTTCTCATTCAATCAGTCATTAGTTCATTGAAGCCAACACTTATGAAATATTTACTTTCAGCCAAATTCTATACTAGGGGCTTGAAATGCATGAATTAACAAAACAAAGTATGTTCCCTTATGCACCCTCACACAGTAAAGGAGGTAAAAGGTGAAATGGCTCAGGAATGGAGTTATGAGCAAGGGAGGTACACAGTGGAAATACTGTCAGAAAAGCAGTGAGACTTTCTCCATGGAAAATCTGGAGAAAATAATTTGTAGATAGAACTCTGTTTTAATTTCTTTATCTACATTGTTTAAAATAAGGAAATAGGTAGTTTTTTTCTGTAATAGACGTATATGTGATCTACTGCCAGAAGATGAACTATTTCTGAGGATTTAATGAGTTCTGGATATTTTTCATACCTAAAGCAAACGATCAGATGTTTAAATTAGTTGTTATATAAAAATATTTATATTTCTTTATATGTTATATTATGAAGCTATCATAATTTGACAGTAGCGTAAACAACTTCAGTATAATTGCTAAAATTCAGAAACAGAATTCATCATGGGCTTTATAGTTTCTTGCTCTCTTTATTGAATACTAAACTTGGGATTTTCTTCTAGATACCCCTTAAATTTAAATCACTTTCTTCTATCCTGAGTCCTTAAATTATCCCAAAAATACAAAATAGCATCCCCAGCTGTCTCAGCATCCCATATTTTTTTTTCTTTATTTTCTTTAAACATTACCTCAAAAATTGTATCCTTTGGGAAGATTCTTGGTGAAGAATCTTTCTACAGCTAATAATTGTTTCTGTTTTTCTAACATGTTGTCTCTCCCCAAATAAAAGTATGTATCCTTCATTGCTTTTTCACCAAGTAACACATATTAACTTGATTTTGTTCTGAAAAGTGTTCTCTTTCTGCTTTAAGCCAACAAGTCCATATCGAGGCTGGTTTGTCCCCCCATTTGGAGGAAACCCCTGGTGGGTGTACCTGGCTGCTGCTATTCCTGCATTGTTGGTCACCATTCTTATTTTCATGGACCAGCAAATCACTGCTGTAATTGTAAACAGAAAAGAACATAAGCTCAAGGTAAGTGTCTATAATAACAGTTATCATTGTTTGGTACTTGAAAACACTGATTCAAAACCAAGAGAATTGTATTGGAAGTTATACTATACCTAATGTTCCATGGGACTTGGTAGAATTAATGACTGCCTTGGGTTGACACAGGTCCTCAATATAATATCTTTGGGAGAACAAATTTACGCCTACATAAATGCTTCAAGTTATGTTTCTGTCACTATCAAAGAGTAAGTATAATTTAGTACTTAACTGTAGTCACCCTACTTCTGATTTTAATGTGGTAATTGTCATTAATGAAGACAAGGACAATGAAAGATTTCAGTAAGGTATACTAAGGACCTACTCTCTGTTCAGTCAACTCAAGTTTATTCTTTTCTTTTATTCAAAAAAGTTTTAGGAGCCAGGGATATAGCTCAGTGGTACAGTGCTTGCTAGGCTTGCACCAGGCTCTGGGTTTAATCTCCAACATCACTGAAAATATTGTACATATTTATGGGGTTCAGTTTGGAAATTTTCAATGTGTAATGGTCAAATCAAGGTAATTAGCATTTTATCTCTTTAAACATTTATAATTTCTGTGTTTTGGGAAATTGAAGATTTATTCTTAAAGCATATTCAGGTAGTTCATGAATATAAACTATTGGTAAGCATATCTATTTTTTGTCCTCAAATATTTATCTTAGGATGGTGCTGTCCACAAAGCAGGTGAAAATACTTTATTTTGTACATTTAGGTTTCTAAAAATTAGTTATGAGTTTAAAGAAAATGCTTTAGAGGTCTGGGCTGTCTTTCAAGAGGGCTGCCTAAAATGTTCCTCTACCTCTAGTAATTTTTTAGGTCACAAAGGATTTCAAAAATACCATTTGGAAAAGTGAAGTATGAATGATAACACTAATAAGAACTGTAAGTGCATGGGTACCTACTATAAGTTAAGGCATGTTTATATTATACATTAACTCATTAACTTTTTATAACTACTGTATAAAGGAATCATGAAAATGCATTAGACTCAGTCACCCAGAAGGAAGAGAGGAAATTACTTACAACTGAGTTCAGCAAAAGTTTAGCAGAAGGAAAAATCCAGGAAATGGGGAAAAATGATTTGACTATGGAAATCCATTAGGTAGAGGAATAAGAGAGATGAGAAGGATTCAGGTAAACTGTCCAATTGGAACCATGGATCATGGTGAGAAAGGTGTAAATACCACAATAGGACTGGGAAAAGAAGAATATCAAAAGTTTTGCTCAAAGAAGAGATGTTTAGGTTTTGAAAGTTTGGGGGGAGAGAAAGCTGAGAGTGATGAAGTGGTTTCAAAGTATATGACTAATTTCTAAAACATCAAAGATGACTTTCATCTGATCTTTGGGTGCTGGAGTACAGGGTACATCTCATCCGTGTCAATGTTTGTATTGTTGGAGGATGACACAGGATGTTGTGAAGTGGAAGACATGAAAGAATTGAAGTTAAAAAGAAAGTGTACACCTGTCCTGGGGACCAGCTTGAGAATAACTTGAATTTCAAAAGAAGGCAGTTTGTGGAATCATGAAAATAAGTTATATATGATCTCACCTAATGTGGGAAGTTAGAGAAAGAGACTTTCACCTTAGCTCAAACATCTTATTGGACATGATAATGCATGCTTGTAATCCCAACACTCTGGAAAGCTGAGGAAGGAGCATCCCAAGTTTGAGTCTAGCCTGGACAAATTAGCAATTTAGGGATAATGTGTCTCAAGAAAAACATTGTCAGTATTTTAAAAATTGCCTACCACTTTATCATTTCCTTTGCTCGTTATTTTTCTTGTGTTTCAAATATTCCCATTTGGAATAACTATTTCCCATACACAGTATTTCCTTACCAGAATTTAAAAAGTTCCTCCTATGAATGGTCTTTGGTAATCAACTCACTCATTTCTGTTTGCCTGTGTTTTTGTCTTTGAGCCTTTTTTTTTTTTTGGCACGGGGGATCTAACTTGGGTCCTTGCACTTGTGCAGCGTCTTACCCTTATTTTGAAAGGTCCTTCCTCTGGATATATAATTTCAGGTTGAAAGATATTTTCTTTCAGCACTTAAAAGCTATTTTTACATTATTTCTGATTTCCATAAAAGTGAATTATTGGTATAATTCTCATTTTTATACATCTCTTTTTCTGGGTATTTTTATGATCTTTTTGTGTCTGTTTTGGAGTTTCACTTCAATCTGTGTAGGCACAGATTTCAAATATTGGATTTTTTTGGCTTTTTGAATCTGAGTATTAGTATCTTATCAATTATAGAATTTTGTAAGTCTTTGAAACATTCAAATGCTAATATATCCTTTTGGAATTCCAAGTAGAAATTTATCTTACATTCCCATTTCATGTTCCTTGTCTGTTAACCTTTTTTTTTTAAATAACATTTCCATCCTTTATGTTCTCTATGATATGTTTTGGGTAATTTTTTCAGATCTTCTTGCTTTTTGATTGTGTGATTTTAAAGCAGAGAGTATTCCATACCTGTTATCAAAGTCTATTAAACATGTAAATGTTTAATTTATGGGAAGGTATAAGAAAGTCTTATCAACCTGAGAACTATTTTTATTTATCCCTAAAAATATATTCTGTTATTTTGAAAAGTGACAAACCCAGGTAACACCAGACATTTATCGGCCCACTTCATTAACAATCTTGTCATGGTTAACACTGGGCCATCTGAACCCCCATCTTCTCATTGTCTCTCTAAAATACTTCAGAGGAAGTCTAGACTGCTTGCTATATTATCCATAAATAATAGAGGGTGTGGATTTCTAAGGGTAATCTTTTATAAAAACACAGCCATGTTGCCATTCTAAGTCTAAAAAAAGTTGACATTCTAAACAACTCAATATCAACCAATAAAATTGAAAATGTAATTAAAAACTTATCAACTAAGAAAAGCCCGGGCCCTGATGGCTTCACTGCTGAAT